AGACATAAGAGACAAATGCATCTTAAGCTTTCTGAACTTACATTATTGGAATTACAAGTCTGTGTTTAGAAAGGAATCGGAATAAATGTTAACTGTGTGGTTGCTGCGACTTGGGATTGGTTTTATATTGTGTTTTCCTAATGAGACATTTTGACTTTGATGCAGCTATCAAGTTAATGCTACTCTGATGGAAAATTTAAACAGAAAGTGATTTATTTCTGCCCGGTTGCTATAATTGCTACATAATATTAACATAGAAAGATATAGGGGACTGATTTGATATCTGGACATATAAAATATCTGGTTCAATGGTTTTCTTTTTGTTAAACAAACTTAATTTCAGAATAGTTTTAAATTTACAAAACAAGAACCATGAGGTAGTACACAGAATTTTGATATACCCCACACCCAGCTTCCCTTATTGTTAATGATGATGTTTCCATTTCAACAATTATAATTTTCTTTGAAGACTAGGCCAGGATTTTATCTTGTGGATTTGATATTGCTGCTAAAGGCACTTGTTCTCTTAAGTCCTCTAACTCTATCTTATTTTGGTAGTTAAATATGATCCTTCAAAGGTGGCAATACAAGGGTGAAGGAATGATTCTTACATACATGTTGTCTTAGAGATGTTTCTTCTTGAATTACAGGTATAAGGGTAAAAAAATAATTATGTATATATTTAACTTCATTAATATGATAGTACATTTTGTCGTAGAGAATCTGCTATGATCACTAATGAAACATATAGCAATAAGCACATAGTGGGTACATTTTTATTCCTTTGTGGGTTCTCAAGATCACCAACATATTTGGTGATTCACTGAAAGGACTTGGAGAACTAAGATATAAATGTATACGTGGCTAGAGTTTATTACAAAGCAGAGACACACAGCAGGATTAGCTGGGGGGAAAGACACAGGTGTTATATGCTGTTTCCTTTCCATGCAAGAGTATACACAATGTATTCCTTTTACTGGTAGTGAAAAAATGCAGTGAGATATCTGTAATGTTTTTGTTCAGGGAAGGCTGTTAGAGACTTAGCAGCATTGAAGAATTTTATTGGGAATGCCTCATATAGGCATCCTCTGCCTAGAAACTAAAAAAATTCAAGACTCCCAAGAGGAAATCAAGTGTTCATCATAAATCACAGTGTTTGTACAGCTGAGGTATACCAAACCAGTTTTACCAGTCAGGGAATGATTCAGTGCCAAACCCTCAGATGCAGCCATGCACCAACCTTACAAGCAAGACCCTTGTGAAAGTCGCAGCCTCAGACCTGCTATGTCGACTCTTTGTTCTGTTGACCCTGGAGCCTTTGCCTGCAGTGTCTTTACAATCCTTAGAAGTCATCCATAGAAGTTTGCAGGGTGAGAACAACTTACAGTATTGACCTGCATCATGCCCTCCCTGAGTCCTGATTTTAGCCAGTTAAAGCAAATCCTATTAACCACAATGCCTATTTTAAATTTCCACTTCATCCTTTTTTTTCATATGAGGCCTGAGGCATCAATAGCCAAGCTCAATTCTGGCCACTATGTTGAATATGAGCTAATTGCTTTCCAGGGCCAAGGCAATGTTATTTTTTTAAAGATTTATTTACTTATTTGAAAGGTAGAGTTACAGAGAGGCAGAGAGAGAGAGAGAGAGAGAGAGAGAGAGAGAGAGAGAAAGAGAGAGAGAGATATCTTCCATTCGCTGGTTCACTCCCCAAATGGCCAGAATGGCCAGAGCTGAGCCGATCCGAAGCCAGCAGCCAGGAGCTTCTTCTTGGTCTCCCACGTCCCATGTGGGTGCAGGAGCCCAAGGACTTGGGCCATTTTCTACTGCTTTCCCAGGCCATAACAGAGAGCTGGATCAGAAGTGTAGCAGTCAGGACTAGAACAAGAGCCCACATGGGATGCTGGCACTGCAGGCAGTTTACCCTCTACTACGCCACAGCACCGGCCCCCAAGGCAGTGTTATGATAGTCAGAGCACACATGTTAGAAATCCAATCCCAGAAGGCACATGTGGTATTCCTGGCAACAAGGCATTTGCGATCATGAGGGCACCTCAAGCAGGACTTACATTATATATTTTATGAAATTTCTTATAACACTTTCCCCTTATTTCTTTTAATCAATATCTTAGGAAGTTTGCTTTGTGTTCTTTTTTTTTTCTAATCACTATAATTGGCATCCCATTTATGTAGAAATTTATTAGAAAAGTTATTTTCTCTCTTTTTACAGGATTATCATTGGTGGTGGAGGTCCTTTTTGACCACCAGTTTTACAGCCGTTTATTGTTTCATCTATGCAATTCATTACTTCTTTACGAAACTTCAGATCACAGGCATTGCAAGTGTTGTTTTGTACTTAGGGTACACGGTGATCATGGTGCTGATTTTGTTCCTCTTCACAGGTAACTGCAGAATTAGTGGATGTATTTCAGGCTCTCTAAAGAGTATTGGAGATAGCAAAAATGTAATAAGCATCAATTAACAATTAGTGGAAGGAATAGGGACCGAAGTCATTATGTTCACTTTTATGCTTTCGGGATAAAAGATTGCAAAGCCTGGGGAACTGGAGGGACCTTATGTACTTATGTACAAGTCTGTCCCTTGTGAATATTTTTAAACAGTAGGGATGTGTTCTGAAGCACAGAAAGGGTTATGTGTAATCACCTTTGGATAGTCTCCAAGCATAAAAATTAACTGGCTTGAATAACCTTTAAATTAGTAAAATTAGGTTAATTTTTGTGACCATATAAGCAATTATATGTGCAGGACAAGATGTATACTTATCCAGATTACTCATTTGAGATGATTTTGGGTTCAAATGTGTGGAAACTTTTGTCTAGATTAATGCACAAAGCAGGTAGAAAAAATGAAATTTATTAAATGCTCCAGTTGGAGAAAATAATGAAGTTGGGGAGTTTTAAGACCTTCTGAATACAAGTGAGGCAGCACTTCATCCTGCCTAACCTCAAGTTCTGGTTTTAGCTCAGGTAACATTGCTGGTATAGGGCAGATAAGAAAACTTCAAGTATTTTCTCTGACTTAACTCTCAAGTTCAACAGATATATAAAAGCTAACAATGGAGATCTGTCAGAAATCAAAAACTTCAGATAAATGTAAAAATTATTTGAGAAACTGAGCATTTGACAGTGGCACTAGGAACCAGGCGATCCATAAGGAACAGAGGTTTATTTCTTGCAGTTCTAGAGTCAGGCAGTCCAAGATTAAGGGGCCCACATCTAACAAGGACCTTTGTGAAATGTCCTTCTATGACATAAGGGAGAAAAGCAAAACAGTATGAGGAAAGGAGAGCTCAAACTCAGAATCTCAAGTGCTTTTATAAGTAACATTAATTCATTTATTAGGGTGGAGGCTTCATGATCTAAACACCTCTTATTAGACTCCACCTCGACAACTATTGCATTAGAGATTGTTTAACACATGCTTTTTTGGGAAATACATACAGACCACAGCAACATGTTTGCTTTTTTTTTTTTTTGAAGACTTATATATTTGAAAGACAGAGTTATGGTGTGTGTGTGTGTGGGTGAGACAGAGAGAGACCTATCTTCTGGTTCACTCCCCAAATGGCCACAACCGCTGGGGCCGGGCCAGGCTGAAACCAGGAGTTAGGAATTTCTTCCAGGTCTCCAACATAGGTGCAGGGGCCCAAGCACTTGGGCCATCTTCTGCTGCTTTCCCAGGCACATTAGTAGGGATCTGGATTGGAAGTGAAGCAGTTGGCACTCGAACTGGTGCCCATAAGGGTGCTAGTGTTGCAGGTGACAGCTTAATCTGCTACACCACAATGCCGGCCCCTGATTGTTGGTTTTTAACTTTTTTTTAAGCATACATACAGAAAAACACATACTTCACAAGTGTACAGATTGATGAGTTCTCACATAGTAGCACACCTTCAAAACGAGCACCCATCTTGATCATCAGTCACTGTTGGGTCTCCTTCCACTCACTTGCCACAGGACAACCACTGTCCTGACTTGTAACAGCATAGATTAATTTGTCCTGGTTTTGATTTGTATGTGAATGAATGTATATACATTACATACATTCATATTTAATACATACAAGATGTACTCTTCTGTGTCTGGTTTCTTTTTATAATTATTCATTTCATTTATTTTCATTATTATTTCAAAGGCAGGCAGGCAGGCAGAGAGACAAAGAGAGGGAGCGAAGAAAGGAGGGAGAGAGACAGAGAGACAGAGAGAGATCTCTTCCTATCAGTTGGTTCACCCTCAAAATTCTTGCAACAGCAACAGGGGGTAGGCCAGACTAAAGCTAGTTGCTGGGCACTCCATCTAGGTCTCCCATGTGGGTGGTAGGAATCCAAGTACTTGAGCTATCTTCTGCTCCATCCCAGAATATGCATTAGCTAGATTCAAGAGTGGAGCTGGTACTCTGATACAGAATTCTGGCATCTCAACAGGCATCATAACTAGTGCACCAAATGCCCACACCTACATCTGGTTTTTTTAGTGCCTAGTTTCTTTCCCTAAGTGTTTCTTATGAGATTCATACATATCCTTGTATGTAGATGTAGTCTATGCTTTTTTTCAGATATGCCCCACCCCACCCAGTGAGTTACTGACTTTTATATTTGTATAAATGCAGCTGGATGTATTGAACACAATAATTTCAGGCCTCTGTTTTTCTCATTACCTAACGCTTGACTCAAGTTGCTGTTTTCTGGGAGTTTATATTACAACATCTTCATTCAAAACAGGTGTAATCCTGAATGATCACGTTGCTGACAAAAATCTTTTCTTAATTGGTTTGCTCCATCTCTTGCATTCTAGTTTCTGTCACCAGACCACACTGAATACTGACATTCAAAAGTTGACAGTGATCTCTTGTCAAATCTGATAGCCTTTCCCTGGTCTTCACCCTCTTTGGTTTCCGCAGTTAACACTACTCAACACCTTTCTGTGAAATTCTTTCAGCAACATTTGCATTATTCTGTGTGTACCACTGTATATTTTCTTATGTTCCTTCTTTTTCCTGTCTTCTAACTTGAATTTTTCTTAACATTTCATCCCTTCCTTTCTACACTGTCCCTTTTAGATTTCTTTCAGTCTGATGGCTTATCTCCTTAATGTTGACTGCTCCTAAATCTGTATCTCTAGTCATAATCTCAATCCAGCCATATTCCAAACATTTGCATGTCCCATTGTTGCTGCAAATTCAACATGCCCCAAAAATGATGCTAGCACCTCCTTTCTCCCAAATTTATTTAGGTTGATTTCTTTCTGTCTTTGACTATCATCACTAACCTACAACCTTGGCCTATTTTGAAGAGTTTTTAACATAGTCCTTCCGTGATTTACATCTAATAAATGCTACTTTCCCAATTAGGCTTATAAACTTTTTGTCTATTCCTTTGCTTTTTACTCCTACCAAAATGTCTTTAAAATTTTATACAAAATGATTTATTTTCATTGTTTTATTTGAAAGGCAGAAAGAGACAGAGAGAGAGAGACAGAGAGAGAGAGAATCTTTCATCTACTGGTTCACTCTGCAAATGTCAGCAACAGCCAGAGCTGGGCCAGGTTAAAGTCAGGAGCCTGAAACTGAACCAAAGTCAGCAACGTGGGTGGCAGGCACCCAGGTACTTGAGCCATCACCTGCTACCTCCCAGGGTGCACATTAATAAGAAGTTGGAATTGGAATTCGGTCTAGGACTCCAACTGAGGCACTCCCAATTTGAAATGTGGACATCCCAAGTAGTTTCTCAACTGCTGTACAAAATGTCCATGCCTACAATTTTAATCCAGGTCATTATTCCCTCTTGCCTGGATCACTCCAGTAGCCTTATACTTGGTTTGCTAGACTCTAATCTCTCCTTTTCTTTTATTTTTTATTTATTTCTTTTTTTGACAGGCAGAGTTAGACAGTGAGAGAGAGACAGAGACAGAGACAGAGACAGAGAGAAAGGTCTTCCTTTTTCCGTTGGTTCACCCCTCAAGTGGCCGCTATGGCCGGTGCGTTGCGCCAATCAGAAGCCAGGAGCCAGGTGCTTCTCCTGGTCTCCCATGCGGGTGCAGGGCCCAAGCACTTGGGCCATCCTCCACTGCCCTCCCGGCCCACAGCAGAGAGCTGGCCTGGAAGAGGAGCAACTGGGACAGAACCAGTGCCCCAACTGGGACTAGAACCTGGGGTGCCAGAGCCGCAGGGGGAGGATTAGCCTAGTGAGTCACGGCGCCGGCTCTTTTATTTTTTTAAACATTTATCTCTCATTGATCTTTTCTTAAAGTCTAGTTCTTTTTTTATTTATGTATTTGAAAGTCAGAATTACATAGAGAGAAAGGGAGAGACAGACTGGAGCTAGGCAAATCTGAAGCCAGGAGGCGGGAGCTCCTCCCAATCTCCCACATGGGTGCAGGGGTCCAAGGACTTGGGCCATTTTCTACTGCTTTACCAGGCTGTAGCAGAGAGCTGGATTGGAAGTGGAGTAGCCGGGACTCAAACCTGCGCCCATGTGGGATGGTGGCGCCATAGGCATGGGCTTAACCTACTAGGTCACAGCACTGGCTTCTAATCTCTCCTTTTCTAACCCACTCTATATGCTGTCAGCTGAACTTTTTTTTTTTTATTATAATACTGTAGCTCAGTCCAAGATTAATTTTGACACATATTTACAGAATGCTTACACTGTGCCAGACACTATGCTAGATGCTGGGGCCATAGGAGTGAAGAAGACAGATAATGTTCTTTATTTCTATGGACCTTGTCTTCTAGTGGGAGAGAGATGTAAAAAGAAAAAGTATGAGTTTAAAGGACTTTGCAAAATAAGTGATTCTGTAAAAGAGGTGGGTGGCTAAGAGTGAGGATGGCACTGGTTGGTAATAGTGATGTTAGAAATGGAAGGAACATTCAAATATTATGATGAGCCTGTAAACTGTATAAAGGAATTTATGCTTAATTGTGGGAGTGACAGGAAGTTGAGGAACTTTAAGGGAGTAATAATGTCATTCTTATTCAAAAATTTTTAAAGATTTCAGTCTTCTTTATAGAAGACAATTTAAATATTAAACAATTTAATAACATCATGTGACAATTTCAGAAAGTTCATGGAAAATGGAATTAAAAGTTTATTTTGGTGCAAGAAAGTTTTTATGGATTTATTATTTATTTGAAAGGCATATTGGGGGCTGGTGGTGTGGTGTAGTAGGTTCAGCTGCAGCCTGAAGTGCCGGCATACTTATGGGCGCTGTATTGAGTCCTGCCTCTCCACTTCTGATCCAGCTCTTCGCTAATATGCCTGGGAAAGCAGCACAGGACGGTCCAGGTGCTTGGGCTCCTGCCACCCATGTGGGAGACCTGGAAGAAGCTCCTGGCTCCTGGCTTCAGCCTAGTCCAGCCCTGGCTGTTGAGGCCATTTGGGGAG